GTAAAGTATCTTGGTCCTTGCTAGCTCACTCTCCTACCAGCCTCCCGCCCTAACAGTAGTGTATTTTGCACATTAATTTGTTTCACTTTACTACCATGTCCTAGCACAGTTGGGTTCCAACGAAAAAAATAGTCTGCGGCGGAACTCTAAGCCTAGAACTTACCATCCCATATCGGCTCTCACAAGAAGAACAGGTGTCAGAGACTGTACCAGCCGAGTTTCGCCTTGAATTAATGTCTACTTATGGCTTGGTTTAATCAGATGGCAGGGCGCGTCGCTTTGTCATCGTCATTGCTCGCAAGTTATCCACTTACGCTGGCTGTCTGGCTGGCTGGCTGTGGAGGGCTGTTTTTAAATGAAACAATGGCATAATGTCTGCGGTGCAGTAATCAGCCGTCAAGCGATTCACTACTGCAGACGCAGTAGCAACAATCTGTCTGCCGCAATATACCACACGGCATATGTGGCTGGAGATTTTCTTACTGGCTGAGACGTTCATATGCGCTGAGGAAGCTAGGAAACCGAGACCATTGTCATGCAATCTTCATGCTGGGACTGTGGAGTACAGTGGTGACCGGAAAAACGAAGTCATAAAGACCTTCGTCTGCATCTCTGCCCCCACCCCCTCTGCCCTAAGTCACGCCGTGCGCGCGTGTGTGCAACTGTTGGCTGTCTGAAGCAGCTACACACCCTCTGATCATCAGCTTGATAAGGAGAAACAGGAAAGCATGGGGGCAGGCGGGGGGGGGTAATTACTCTTGTGGAGATTGTAGCTGAGGGCGGTGAAACGGCATAGAGTGAGGCAGCGTGCCGACTACTTCTGCGCTGCTGCTGCTGCTGCTGTTGTTGCAGTAATTGGGAGCTCACCAACGGTTCGCCCAGAGAGTACCGTTTCGAACGCAGTCTAGCCACGCACTCGCTCCTGATTTCTTGGTCGTGGCTTCTGGGTTGACCCGGGTCCTCCGCCGACTGATGACGTAGCGGCTGTTGTTGCTGCTGCTGCTGCTGCTGTTGGGATTGGTGTTGCGTTTGTTGTAGTTGCATCAGCAAGTGATCCATCGAGTTGCCAGAGCCTTGACTCAGAACAGACACTGCGTCCGTTTGGTACGTGTTCAGGCATGCTGAAAGACCCGGTGCCTGTGATGTCTGATGATGTGGTTGTTGATGTTGCTGCTGCTGCTGCTGTTGTTGGTTCTGTGAGTCAAGGCCATGGTATGGGGTGTTGAGTGCCTCTAGACTGGAGAACTGATTAGTTTCCACGCTCATATTGTGTTCCAAAACGTTAGCAGCTAGCATCCTATGCGCGGTCTCTGCAACAGTCTCCTTTAGGCAGAAGTCGGAACCGCCATGGCTGATGCTGACGGCACCCGTAGCCGACACCCGAGTGGAAGAGCAGGGCTGGTTGACGTCAGCAGAGGCAGAAAAGCACGCCTGCACTCTGTCCGTTGGAGCCATCTCATGGGCAGAATGGTTGTCCGAATGATCAGTACTCTTTTCGTAGGCATTAAACAGCAGTTTCTGTGACATATGCATCTACAAGAGGCAAAAGAAGACATATATTGGCTGGATGAAATAGACTGCATTCCCAGGTGATATGATGAAAAGAAAGGATCGTCGGAAAACCAAGATATAGTTGGGAATTTTAAAGCAGTTAACAGCGGCCCGTCGTCAGAAATGAAATGGCCGGCTAAGGCCAGTTTGTGCGAGAGGACGTATAAAGACAGATAGGCAGCCAGTGTGTGAAAAGGACAAATGGTGGACAAACGGTTACGGTTGAACTTGGGGCGCAGGAGGAGGAGGAGGGTGAAGAGTGCTACGGCTCTCTGTGTAGGAAGGGGAGGGGGTGACGCTTTAATACGACGGCAGCCTTGAGCTGTGGTCATGGTCGGTGCGGTTGACTCAGTACTAATCACTACTACTACTGCTGCCACTACTACTACTACCAATACCACTTCTATTACTACTACTACCATTACTACTTCACTACTACTACCACTATTATATGCTGGGCCACGTTGAATATCACTCTCTCACCATCCCTACCCCGAACACAACGAACGATATTTAAAAACCCGCAACACGCTATTCGATGCTGGGCCACGTTAAAAAGCACTGACTCACAACCTCAAACCCGAACACAGCAAACGATAGCTGAAAATCCCAAAGATATATATTTTTAGAATTTTAGAGTAGATTGTTTTTATTTAAAGGAGACTGACTGACTCAAAAAACTTCATGTTTAAGTCTTTGACGAGTGCCTATTAATTCAGAACCTTTCAAGAATTTAATTAGGGTTAAAGGCTATACGACTAACCCGCTCAATCTTGTGCTCATAGTGGGCGTTGGTTCGAACTCTCAAGGTGCTTCTGAAATGTCTTAATATCCACAGCCCTCTCCCTCTTAATCATTGTTCATTGCCTACTTTCATTTATGCTGTTTGACCCTAACCTACTTATGTTACTGTAAAAGCCGCACGAGGAATAGCTGAAATTCTCCTTTAATGGAATTTGACTTCTCCAATTAAAATGCACTCAGTTTGATGAGAAAGCAAGCTTTGCTGATTAAACAGAGGCTGACCGTTTGAGAACGAAGCATAAGAAAGTTTTGGTGTACGAGACACATCGCCTTGAACAGCGCGGAATATCAGCTCACTAACTGACTGGCGGCAATATTTACTCTGTCCAGTAGAAAGGGTGCCCAAAGTTAACAAAACAATAATCGTCTAAACAAAAAAGTCTTACTATCGGTGACAGACCTTGGGAATAAATCGACACGACTGCTGGCAAAACAGCTTTATTAGCCTGGCGTTTCGGATCTTCACTCGAATCCACCATCATCAGCGACAGAGTCAGATAAGGCTATTGGACTATCAGGCCACTACATGCCTGACAGCAGCTTTGAATCCATCGCGGACACTTGCACGAGTGGCTAGATGCTGCAGTGCGCAATTGCCGGGCAGATGTTGTCTGTCTGTGTGCCCGTCAAAATTGTCGGCTCCCAATCGAAACTGGCAAGGTACAGTGGTTAGAGCGTTGGACTTCTAAATAAAAAGGTCGGGTGGGACACCACCTGAGATGGAGCATGACTGGATGATAGCAGTT